GACTTTTACGAAATATAAAATAAATAAATGTATTGTGTAATCGTATCAACACAAGTGACAGCAGCTAACGAACTTCCTTTAAAGTTTTAAAGTTAGTAGAAAGTAACTCTAATTCTTGTTACCCCTTTTTTATTTACGATATAACATAAAAGTATTGTTGTTGTTTGCGGATTTCATTTTAAATTGTTTTCTTGATAATTTGATTTGAGATCTGTTAAAGTCCTACCTACAATTAGACATTTGCTTACTCTGCTTCTTTGATTTTCCTTTTTTGTTTTCTTTTACTATTTATAATATATAGTAAAATGAATACTCGTAACGCCAAGACGCGCCAGATGGTGAACTATCTTCCTCTTGTGCTCCAAGAACTGAAGGCGTCCAAAGAGCAGTTGGTTAAAGAAAGGGTTGAAAATGAAAAGGAAATAATAAGTGTATTTTCGAAAAATACACACTTAAAAAGTGATATAGTAAAGTTGCATAGAGACTATACTGATATTTTAAAGAAAAGGGAACAGTTCCAGTTGATGAGTTTGACCGATGCAGCAAGGAATATGAGGATTCCCTCAGATTAATTGCAGCATTGCAGTTACAGTTAATTAAGGCTAATGAGCAAATTTTTCAATTTAAACAATTTATACATAACTTGCAAGCATGCCAAACTCAGAGTTTGTTCGATAAGCTCGTAGAATGCAAATCAATCGATTTGACTGGTGATAATTCTGTCACATCAATAACAGCAGATAGGAACAGAAAGAATTATATAATAATTAATGACTTACCTTACTTGATAGATTATTTTCTGATAATACTTCGTTGATTTTCCGACTAAAAAGGCAATTATTGAAATATGACGAAGTGAATAATACTATATCAAAAGTACACTGGATTAACGTCAATAATTTGCTTTTGAACGCTAATAAAACGAAATGTATTAAATTCACTACACCTAATGTTAGAAATGTGTCTTGTCTGAGTCTTGTTGAAACCACTGTTTTTCGCGGTATTACACTTGACGCGAAGCTTCAATGAGGTCCTCACATATCTACTAGCTAACAAATTTAATTCTGCAACATATGCTGTAAAAAAATTAGATGCCTTACATGTGTTGAAGCAGCTAGATTAGTTTATACTACTAAAGAGTACATGACTGATATTAACCCCTGGAAATGAGGTGATCACTACCATGCTGTTTCTTAATGTTTTCATAACAATCGTATAAAATACTACATTGTAAATTCTGCTTTTTAAAAAAAAAGTCACGCTGAGGTTTTTGCTGGTTATTCCCAGGACAGAGGTTTTTTTGCAAACCAATGGTAAAGTAAAAACTGAGTTTACGTAAATATGATATATTATAATCTATATTGAATAAATATGATTCTATTCTATTTTATTATATTCATCGCAGTTGTGGTGAATACTTAGGTCACTAGAGCTTCTCATTATATATTTTCTTAAGTTGACGCTTAACACATTCTGTTTCGAAACGCCAATATTTTCAAAAACCATCCGTTTTTGTTTATCTATCTATGATTATTTATACATAAATTCAGAATAAATTTCCTCAGAAATATAATATTCAACCCAGCAACTTTTTCCCTTAAAAAAGTGGATGGTGGAAGAGGGGAGCATTGTAACATTTCTGATAATAAAGGTGTTGCTGCATTTTTCTTTTTCTTGGTGTAAGTACAATCGAGGAAATCGAATTATGAGTTATAGATGTACTAAGCGCGAAAAATAAATAGCCTATATTATGCTGCTATCATCATTTTATGCAATTACTCAAACTCAATAGTAAAATGGTAGAAGTGACTATTTAATAAATATGTACCTATTTATTTTAATCAAACATATTATCTACAGTAAATTATTAAAAGAAATTCACACGTGGAAGAGTTGATGTTGTACATGCAGATGTGAACCGATCAAGAATAGTGAGAGTGGCTCTAATAACATCATAAGATGATTGTCTGTCATCTGGTAGACTAAATAATAAGCGCAATTAAGCTCTGGAAAACTACATTTAACAATGTATATTTTTTGAAGTGGAGAAATTTCAGCTTTCCTTTATAACTATGACTAACCACATACTACACTACACTACACTATTTAACATTTTACGGGTAGCACGGGACATTACATCTTAGTCCTCAGGGTTGGCGACGCATTTGCAATCTATAACGGTTTGTTGGTCTTGAGTCCATGGGCCATAATTTACTTACCACGTGCTTAACCATACGCTAGTTTGCCTTTTCCATGATCCAAAAACAGTTAACGGAACAATAATACATTATGGTATTAACGTTGGCTTGGTGCCCTCGACCAGCCGCCTTTTAGAGCTCGCCAACACTTGAAAATCAGATGTCTGCAAATGCAAATCTAAGCAATTTACACTGTTTTTTGTGGAAAACCAAGTAAACCTGTTATTATAAAAGTACTTCCATATATATTTTAAACTCATATATTTAGTAAACCTGCAATAATATCATCATCATTATCATTACAGCCTTTCTTAAGTCCACTGCTGAACATAGGCCTCCCCCAAGGAATGCCACAAAGCACCATCCTGAGCAACCTGCATCCATCGACTTCCTGCATTTCTTACCAGGTCGTCACTCCATCTCGTGGGGGGTTGCCCTACACTTCGCCTACCAGTACGAGGCTGCCATTCAAGAACCTTTCTTCCCCATCGGTTGTCGGTTCTTCGAGCTATATGGCCGGCCCACTGCCACTTCAGCTTACTAATCCGTTGGGCTATGTCGGTTATTCTGGTTCTACTGCGGATATCCTCATTTCTAAGTTTATCATGCAGAGAAACTCGGAGCATAGCCCTCTCCATAGCTCGCTGAGCGACTTTGAGCTTCCTCATACGGCCAGCAGTGAAGGACCACGTCTCAGATCCGTAAGTCATCACTGGAAACACGCACTGGTTGTACAATTTCGTTTTAAGGTTTTGAGGAATGTCTGAAAAAGATGTGTCGTAGTTTACCGAACGCTGCCCAACCGAGTTGAATCCGTCGATTGAACTCTCGGTCGAAGTTAGACTTACCTAGTCGGACTATTTATCCCAGGTAAACATACTCGTCAACAACTTCGAGCTTAGTGCTCCCAACAACTACTGGCATAGGTGTGACATGGACATTGAACATGATCTTTGTTTTGTCCATGTTCATCTTAAGACCTATCCGTTGGGAGACACTATTGAGGTCATTAAGCATGGTGCTTAGATCCTCCAGCCATTCTGCCATAAGGACTATATCGTCGGCAAATCCAAGGTGAGTGATATACTCGACATTGATGTTAATACCGTATCCTTTCCAGTTCAGAAGCTTGAAAACGTCTTCCAATGCAGCGGTGAAGAGTTTCGGGGATATAACGTCACCCTGTTTTATACCTCTCTGCAATTGGATAGGTTTCGTACTCTGGTTCTGTACTCGGATAGCCATCGTATCCCTACTGTACAAGCACTTCAACACTTCGATATTTTTATTTATTTTATTTTACAACAACAAAAATACATATTATACACAGTTCATAAGTACAGTGCAACATAAACCTATATAAGATTTTTCTGCACACTGCAGTTCGCCGTCTTTTGAGCGTAAACATTTTAATATTATTTAGAGTAAGAAGGTAGTTCGCTCGCTTCTATAACAATAACGTGAGGATGAGTTGTAGTATACAGGTTGTTCAGAGGAAAAAATATTTTTATATTTTTGAAATATAAATATAGTAATTATATTACAATTAGTATACATATATAATAGTATATAGTATACAAATAGTATATAGTATTAGTTTTAGTTATATTATGTTAGTTATTATATTAGTTGATTCATAAAGTACGTTTTTAATTTCTTTTTAATATTTTTATGATTGATATCTTCCTTTAAGGTTTTAGGTAGTTTATTAATTAATTTAGGAATAATGATCTTATTTTGATGATCTCCATATATATTTTGTGTTTTAGCTATAATTAATTTAGGGTTATATATACTTCTAAGCTGGTGTTTATACATTGGTAGGACTTGCAATTTTGTATTAAAGAACTGTTCAACAAGTTTTTAGTTGATTCCCAATCTATTTTATTTAATAAATCAGAAACTTTTTTCTGATCAATGAATGTTTTAGATTTAGGAGCCGCCTCTATATAGTGCTGAGATCCAACACAAGCGAATGTTATCGCACAGTGGTCTGCCAGTGCGGTTCGAAGTGTCGCAGTGTATACGTCTTGTGAGTGAGACCGTGCAAATATATGGTCAATACAGGATTTACTAATTAGGTTATTTCTTAATTCAATTCTAGTATATTCCGAGATTCCACTCACAAGTCCGTAAGTCGATAACATTGTTGTGTATTTATGTTTTATAGGAGTTTCCACAGCGAGGTCAATGTTTAAATCACCTATTATAAAGAAGTCTTCGCGTTTATTAATTATGTCGCATGATTGCTGCCATTCGTGTATAAATAGGTGTTTGCTTAAGCTAGGCGGACGGTAAATAGCGAGTAGATTGCAAGTGTATTTCGTGGGTGTGATTATTTTTGTTAGTCAAATTGGACAGTTTTTATTATAGTAGTCGACACTTTATGTTTTTTATGTATGTAAATAATAACTCCACCTCCTCTTCTGTCCTTCCTTAGATTTACATGCATATTGTAGTTCTCTAGTTGGAAAAGATCGATTAAAGGTTCTGAGATATTAACTTCTGATAGAATAACTAAATCAATACTAGTAGGACAAGTGACTATAATGTGTTCTAAACTAGAAAATTTTGAAATTAGTGTCCTTATGTTAAAATGAATACACGTTAGGTTAGTTTTATGGGGAATTTTGTGAATAAAGTCAGTTAGGTTAGTACAGTTTTTTAATTCAGTTACGTTATCAGGTAAATCCATTGTAATAATTGTAAATATGTAGAAATGTATGTAAGCTTAAATAAAGAAAAATAAGAAAAAAGAGATGATGTATTGATATGTAAACATACTATTAGCGAATTACCTACTTAGGCTCTAAGTAGTTTGGCAATATCTTCTTCGCGACGGATTATAATGATGTCACTTTGTTCTTCTTTTCTTGCTCGGATGATACCTCGTTTATACCATACATACTTGTAGGTAGGTTTTAGCTTTTGTTTCGCTTCCCATAGTAATTTCTTGTTATAATAAGATAAAACTTCACGCATGTAAATAATCTGCTTTCCTGTCGCCTCCGCCTGATTATCCATGAAATCATGAGCATATAGTTTTGAATTCTTCGCTGCAGTGATCCATTTTGTTGATTCTGTTTCATTTTTGAATGTAATTTCAATATTTCCGGGCTTTTCTTTTTTCCCTGGCACACGTTTTATAGATTCAATATCAGTATCCTTTATTCGTTGCTCTAGTGCACCAACACGCGTTTCTAAATAATTATTTTTGTTAGCGAGTTCTATATTTTTCTTCTGTAATTCTTTCATTGTTAATTTTAAGGCATCTATAGACACAGTCAGCTCGTCCATTTTATCGCTTTGATGTTGTAGAGATTTAATTATGTCTCGCAGTTCTCTTTGAATAAATATAATAAAATAAATATACCGACAGTCAACTTGGCACCGCTGAAGGGACTGCAGCACCGCCCAAATTTCGACGGAATCAAAAGCTTTCTCGTAGTGCACTAACGCCAGACATAGTGGCAAATTGTACTTCTCGGACTTCTGTACAACTTGCCAAAGGGTATGTATGTGGTCTATGGTGCTAAAGCCCTTTCGGAAACCAGCTTGTTCGGGAGACTAGAAGTCGTCAAGTCTGCGCGCGAGACGATTCGTAATGACTCTCGAAAACAGCACGTAGACGCGGCTCAGAAGGGAAATCAGTCTGTAGTTCTTCAAGAGAGCGTTGTCACCTTTCTTGAAGAACAAGACCACCGCACTTCTGCTCCACGCCTCCGGTGTAATGCCACCATGGAGGACAGAATCAAAGAGCCTCTGAAGGAATTCAAGTACCGGTTTTCCACCCGCTTTCAGAAGCTCCGCTGTAATTCCATCCTCACCTGGGGCCTTGCCGTTTTTAAGATGCTGGAGAGCTATTCTAATCTCGCTCAGACTTACGTCCGGGATATTTTCGGAATAGTGTCGGATAAGACTCGCTTTTGGATCGTTACTCACACTTGCGTGTGGCTCCAACGATGACGTGTACAGCTGCCCATAGAACCTCTCAATCTCACTCAATATCTCAGGTGTCCCGGAAACGATGCTGCCACACTCGGTCTTCAGCTTTGACAGTTGGCTCTTTCTGGCAGACAGATCTCTGGCAAAGACTTTGGAGCCTTGGTTCCGCTCGATCGCTTCTTCAATACAAGCTGTATTAGAGTATGAGCTGTGGTAGATAATTCCACCTGATTCGGATACTGTAATTAACAAAAATAATACTTAACCCAAGCATATCACTGTAAGACTTCAAGACACATTAAGTTCATTCTGCGTAGATCGGACACAATTAAAAAACTGTAGGTACTCCGGGTTAACTTTGACATCGGGACGTCAATCACCCCTGTCATCCGTGACTATGGGTGCTGAAATGCATCCGAACCGTCGGGAATTTAAAAATTCGTATAATTAAATGCGATAGAATCTGTAAAAGTAGTTTTATCTAATTTATATTATTATTGATTTAAGTAATGGCTGTCATATGCATCCTGTAATTTTTATATTTTCTATCGCAACTCGTTCAAAAGTTACGCGATCACTGACCAACGCACTAACGTAAACTAACGTAATGTATTCCTAAATACTAGTCTTTGAGAGATAACTACATATTTGTGCCATTTGTTGTAGAGACTATCGGTCCGTGGGGTCCACGCACGGTGAAATTACTAACTGAAATGTATCCGCGACAGGTCGTCGTTGCTGGTTATAAGAGATTTTTTAGTATAAATTGTTTAACTTATTTTTAACTGCCATTTTGTTTTATGCGTAAGGCATTCTTCCGGTAAATTATTGTAAATTTTCGATACTAAGTGTTGGAAACGTTCTTTTGCCATAATGATTAGCACATTTATATTGTCATGTTATTATTTTACGCGGTCTGCGCGTGTTCTTATTTACGGGAATAAAGCTACTCAATGCGTTACATAAGATTGCATAATACTTATCACATGTCGCAAATGATATTTTAAATTGCTCGTGAATCAGTATTATATTACAGTCCTGGAAGAGCTACTCATATTATCCCTATATTAAATTTTAGCTTTTGGTTTAGCCAATATTTTCATTATTCTTATTTTAGATTGCGTATTTTCTAAGTTAAACTCAAACTCAAAACATTTTTTGCTATTGAACATTAACATTTATTGTGAGGCCAGTGTTATGGACTCTGTTGGGCTTGCAATTTAGGGGCTAGGAGAGGAAGCGTATTTAACAATTAAGAATGCCATTGTGGTTTATTGAAACATAATTTAATTTTACTGAGTCATCATTTTGAAAACCTATATATTTTCATTTTTTTAGTATGTCGGATAGTTTACTACATAATTTTATGGAAGAACTTTATGTAATAGAAGTGTTTAATTTTAATCGGGAAGTTTTAAGTAAATTTTTATGTCGTAATGTGTATTTGCGTGGTAAATCTTCAAGTATTGTCTGATGGTAAGTCTGTCCACCTGATGGTAAGTGGTTGTTGTAACCCATAGACATCCACGTCTATCCTCAATAAAGAATCAAAATGCAGATGCGTTGTCATCCGTGTGGACTAAGATGAAATGCCTTTTTTCTAGTAAAAAGGGTTTCCGGTTCTCTACACTCACCATACGAAACACAGCAGTGTTGAGCTGCTATTTTACGCTGGTATTCTGTGAAAGCGTAGTCCTTCTCCGGTCGGGCCGACCCATTCGTGCTACAACTATACTACTAATATAGCTGCAGCATGGCAAAAATAATATAAAAATAATATTTTATATTTAACAAAAAACGGTCTGCAGGTATTAGTATAATCTATATATATGTCCTATAATCCGGATTAATTTCTTTTGCAGGTTGAATAGAGAGGCTGCATCCGTACTGATGCTCCACAGAATGATGCCGTAACATAGCCAAGCGTGCGCGTATGCATAGTAGTGGTTGTTTTTTCTTTACTTTCGAGTAATGCATATGATAATCTTGAATAATGACCTCACTCTGTGGACATGCGCTTTCCTATTCAAGTGAGTATAAATATAAATATATATAGCGAGTAATTTAAATTCTTTCGCAGATTCTAAAATTGTGTCATTGTAATTTAATTTTCCATTTAATGCAGTTTTTAGATAAGTAATTTTAATTTACTTACTTACTTACTTACTTATCTTCACGCACAATCCCTGACGGGGTAGCCAGAGAGAACAGATCGCCAAGTGTCACGATCCTTACATATCTCTTTCGCTTCTTTCAGATTCATTATCTTCTTCATACATGCACGTCTAGGTGCATGTATGGGGGTCATTGTAGAAGCGTGCTCGTCGCGACCCCTGCCAGCCCTTTTCAGGGCTGCAATTCTACTCAGCTGCGCACCCATGTCAACGAGGGTTAGGGCGTCCCCCCAAGGCGACGCACACCAGCTCGTCCCCGTTGGTGTGGAATGCAGCGCGCAAAGCGGCGATGGGGACCGCCACCCGTCACGCACAGCCCGACACGGCGGAAGGTGGAGGACGGAGTGCAGAGTTGGCACGTGGAATGTTAGAGGAGACATGAGAGATAAGACGAATGAGTTGATCGAGATAATGAAAGAAAGAGAATTAGATGTCGTGTGTATGTCGGAGACCAAACGGAAGGGCAGTGGTACTGAAGAGCTCCCTGGTGGGGCGTTTGCTCTATGGTCCGGAGTCCCGGAGAGCGAGAACGCCTGCCAGGGAGTGGGGGTGCTGCTGTCTTCTCGGTTGGCCGATGTTATGACTGAATATAAGTTTGTGAACTCAAGACTTCTCTGGGTTCGCTTTAAATTGGGACTGACGAAGTTATTCCTTTTGGCTGTTTATGCGCCGGTGGCTTCGTCGTCTAGGGCTGAGCTGGAGGAGTTTTGGGAGAATGTAAGAGAAGTTCTAGATTTGGCTAGGGGAAACGAAAGGATTGTTGTATGTGGTGATTTGAATGGATGGGTTGGTACCGCTCGACCAGGGTACGAGTCGGTACTTGGAAAGTTTGGCGATAAAAGGGTTAATGATGCTGGCAAGCTTATACTGGCGGTATGCAAGGAAAAGGGTCTTCTTGTGACAAACACTATGTTTAATCACAAGAAAATCCATATGTATACTAGAGAAAGAAAGAATGAGAGAAGTATGATCGATTTGTTCCTGGTGGATGACCGACTGCGAAAACAGGTTATGGATACGCGAGTGTTCAGGGGTGCTGACCTGGGAACGGATCACTATCTAGTGATTACTAGATTTAGGGGTCTGTTCGCGGGTTGGCGCTACCGGACGACAGTGACAGAACCACAGTCGGTCTGTCGCATCCGAAGCTGGAAGCTTCAGGAAGCGGATACTAGGGACAAATATCATGCGAGGGTAGCCGAAAAGCTTGACACCATCGATGGCAGAAACGAATGTGTAGAAAGAACATGGCAGAACCTTAGGGATGGAATGGTAAGTGCAGCGGAAGAAGTGTGTGGGACAATAAAAAGAGGCAGTAGTAAAAGAAGAGATGCATGGTGGAATGATAAAGTGAAAGAAGCTGTAAAGAAGAAGAAGAAAGCATGGTTAGACTACTTGGCCTTTAGTAATGATAAGGATATGAGAGAGAAGATGAAAGAAAGATATAAGCTTCAGAAAGTTCACACGAAAGCATTGATTGAGGAAGTGCGTGAAAGGTGTAGAATGGAAGCGGATGAAAGGTTGTCGCACAACTTTAAGGAGAACTCGAAACTCTTCTGGAAAGAGGTTGGAAGGACCCGAAGTGGTGCGACGGCCTTAAGAATGAACAAAGTGCTTTCGAGAACTAATGACGTCCTCTCAGAAAAATCGGACGTCATGCAGCGATGGAGCGAATTTTATAGAGAAATGTATGCGTGTGATGATCTTAGTGAGGGATCCGGGGATGAGGCCGTGACTGGCACGCCAGACCCGGACCTCGATGACACTGAGGTCATCAGTATGAAAGAGATTGAACGTGCGATTCGAAGTTTGAAATGTGGTAAGGCTGCGGGACTAGACAGAGTTACTGCTGAAATGGTCAAGTATGGTGGGCCTCGCGTCTGGGACAGCTTTCATCTGCTGTGCAATTTGTGCTGGCGGACGGGGGATGTCCCGGATGATTGGCGATCCGCAGTCATTGTGCCTTTATATAAAGGTAAAGGTTCACATTTTGACTGCGGGTGCTATCGGGCGATCAGCTTGACCAGTTTAGCAAGTAAAGTTTACTCGAAGGTTTTGACACGTAGGATGCAAGAGAAATCGGAAAGATTTCTATGGGAGGCACAATGCGGATTTAGACCTGGAAGAGGATGCACGGATCAAATGTTTTCTCTCCGTATGATCACGGAAAAGCTTCTG